AAGCTTGTTCTTTGGATTCTTCTGTTGGTGTTGCTTGTTTGTTGTTTGGTCACCATTTGGATCATAATGCATTGCATATCTGATGTAGAGGAACAAAATTTTAGTGGAAAAAATACTGTGAATAAGGAAGGGCCAAGCTGAAGCAGAAACAGATTTGAAATGGATTAGGAAATCAAAAACTTGACAGCACCAAAACTGATAAAATTAGAGCTAGATGAAAGTGGGGGTGGGGGAAACAAAGATCTGTTTTGTGGGAGATGATTCCAGATTTAAACTGTTAATTGATGTCTCATGATTTAAAGAATTTTTTTTTTCTTTAAGGTGACTGTGACAAGCCTCCACAGCTGGATAATGGTGCTCTATCTGACCAATTCCTTTCTTGGACCTCATTTCCTGTCAGAACCAGGGTCACTTACAAATGTCACATAGGTTATACGTTTGCGGAAGGATCTTCAAGATCTGTTATTTGTCAGCAAGATTCAACCTGGACTCCATTACAGGCCAAATGTGAACGTACGTGATCAGAATAATTTTTTCTTTTTTTCCACTCCCCATGTTATTTCCCTGCCCCTTCCTGTGCTATCCAGGAAGAAGCCTTTGACAGGAATGGTATTCCAAGAATGCAGACCTTTCACTCTGGTTCGTTGTCAAATGTTGTCCAAATCTGATGGAACAAATGCTTAACTGCTGCTTATTCTTCTGTTTTGAGTAACAAATCGTCTGTCTAAAGGAATTGCACTCCTGACTAGGGTTAAACTAGCGATGCATCGCTCCACTTGTAATAGTTGCTAAAATACCCACGTAGCAGTAATTTTTTTAGAAATGTTGGCTGAAGCACAGCCCTGTGTTTTGGAGTTTAACCTTTGATTTCTTTCGAAGTTATGACAAAGCAAATATAAACTTGATAATTAGGGCAGCACGATAGTCTGGAAAACTGCGTATCATCTTTTTTGAAATTTGCAAAGGAAAGCTCTATTGGAAACTTGTGAAATCTCTACATTTTTTTCTATATATTTTTTCTCTCTGTAGCAATTAACTGTGGTAATCCAGGAGAGATTCTGAATGGGTATTATGAGGCAGATGCTACCACTCTGGGGAGTAAAGCTGTGTTTTATTGTGACAGTGGGTGAGTATTCAGTACACAAATGCCTCAGAGGCTTATTTGATTTTTGTTGACAACTTGTGTTCCTTTTAATTTCTTAAATTGTGTTAAAGCATTTTGATGCTGTTACTACAATGCAATTTGTCAGCAGTCTGAGGAGGTGGCAACTAGTTCTTTGAAGCTAATTTTAAAAATTTTTTTTTATTGTGGGGAGTATTGGACCGAAGAGTTCATGGATGAATGTCAGTTTATACTACAAGGTTATAATTCCCATTCTCTGCCCAAGGTCCATAGACGTTGCTAATCTGGTCCAATACCCACCGTAATTCCAGGTGATGTTTTTTTTTTCCCCCCTCTCTCATTACTGCTGTTGCTCATCTGAATTGGGCTACAAATTCAACGGCTAACTCTGAGCAGCTTTGGATTTCTTATCTCAAATATATTGGTTGCCTACCAGGTGCTGAATTCTGGCTACTTCCAGCTGTGAACTTATTGATTTGTCATTTTAAGGCATTCGGGCTGTATTCAATGAAGAGAAAGCATTTTAATTTGGAGTTGATCACAAGATTCATGATCAGTTTTCAAACTGCTGCTTTTATACCAAGCCAGCACCATGCACAAATTATATCAATATCTATGGGAGTAGTAGTATAGAGGTAATAGTGCTGTCCTACTGTCCCCAATCTGGATTGATGCTCTGGAGATGAGTTTCAGTTCCACTGTGGCAACTGGGTAATTTTAAATTTAATTCATTAAATAAATCTGGAATTAAATACTAACAAAATGGAATGTTTAGATTTGCCAGTCAAGCATTACCGCAAAAGAGAGGTTATGATCGTAAGTGTTTTTAAAGTAGTTTTATTGATGATAAGGAACAGTTTATACAGATAAACAAAATAAATGAACTGAAACAGCTTGTGACTGGTGGGAGTAGCTTTACCAATTCTTGAGGATGGGAATGGGTTCTGTAGCTGGAGATGGCAATATCTTGTCTGTTCTGTTCAGTGCTCTCTAATCTTCCTGAGGTGTCAGGAAGCTATTTGCCCGTTTTTCTTCTGCCAGAGGAAAACTGCCCAATTCCACACCGACCATAAGACCATAAGAAATGGGAATGGGAGTAGGCTACAGGTACATGGATCTGTGAAAAGTGACAAAAACTATACAATGCTGCTTCTCTCCTTTGAAAAGTAATAACGAACTCTTCTGATGTTTAATAGTTCATCTTGTAACATAATACAAGAAAAGGGCATAAGGGCAAAGTCCTGTAATTATTTTAGTAATTAGTACTTGTGCATGATATTCTTAATCCTCATCCCCTGAACACTTTGCTTTACCACTCGCATTCGTATAGTGCATGATGAGTGATTTCCGTTTTCACTCTTTCAGTTATCGGATTGTTGGTAGAAACTACCGCATGTGTGAGGCTAGCGGGTGGACTGGCCAGGTCCCAACATGTGAAAGTAAGTGACAGTTCTGTGTTTTAAGTTTGGCTTGTTTTGATATCAAAATCTACTACTAAAGTGACTTGGTGGGGTGTGTGTAGTTGGTGAAGAGTAGCAACACTGAACTGGTTAAGATTGTTTAAATAAAGAATAGAAAAGTAGTGAGCAGGCCAGAGCTTTCTGCACGGATTTGTGAGCTGCTGTATCACAAATATCTGTTGGCTGGCATGTTAGACAGTCTGTATTTTATGCAAGAGACTGGTTTGATTTGTTGTTTGAAGAGAGATGCAGTGTATCCTGTGACTCAGTTGAAACCATTTTGTCTCTGAATGGGAGACTGCGTTCAAGGCTGACATTAGGACTGAGGGAAACGCACGTGCTCCTACAATGCAGCAATAAATGTACTGGATTCTTCTTCAGCTGGATAGGGCTTTGACTGCATACGGCATTTTTTATTTTCAGTATGATGAAGCAGCAACTGAAGTCCAATGAAATCATAGCACCTACTATCTTGACTACTTGAGCAAAGGGAAAGACCAAGAATAGGAGGGCTTGACACTTGAGCATGTTGAAAGCCAACCACATTTTGATTCAAAGCATCTGAATTCATCCTATGGGGAAGAATCCTGTAAGAAAGCTGTAGATAATCTGTGTAGAATTAATGCACAACTTTAATGAAATTCCTAGCTTCTCTCCCCACCTCCTTTAGGTTGTTTAATTGCGAATCTGTTCAGTGACTGACTTTCATGGTGAGCAATAAGAAAAATAAAACTGTCAATCAAATCAGGCTTCATTCTGGAATCTGTCTCAATCTGTATTAATATCATTTGGGATGGTGACCAATCTATCACACCATTCCAGTGTCAGGTCTTTTTTTCTTTTTGTAAGAAAAGGTCTTGAAGTGCTGTTACACACAACTGAAGGTTTTTTTTCTCCCACTCACTAAATCATCAGTAATATTTTTCACCTGTTAACCACCACCACTAAATCACCCATGTTTCCAATGGAATAATTCATTTGCATTGCCCTTAATGTGCTTTGCAAACCATCAAAGGTGAGGTGGGGGCAGGAAGTTAAATGAAAATGGAGTTTGGAAGGGGAGATCAAGCACTGTACCCCCTGTGATGCCCATCCGTTTCGCTAAAGGAGTATTGATGGACACTGCATGCTTCCTCTCCAAGGACTTCTGGCCCAGAATCAGCCTACTTTTGCCTTGAGATATCTGGATCATTGGGATGCCTTCCATGGCAGGAGGAACCTGTACAGGGAAAGATGGGTTGCACATAAACCTGAGGGGCACTTAAATGCTTGCAGGGAGGTTTGCCAGTGCCACTTTGCTGGTTTAAATTCGTGTGAAGGGTGTTGGGAACAGGAACAGTAGGTCAGCAAGTGCAGTGATTGAGACGAAGGTAGAGTTAAGGCATGTAAGTTTTTCATAGGAAGAACAGGCATGGCCACGTTAAAGTTGTATATATTTCACTGCAAGGAGCATAAACAGATAAGGCGGCAGATGAGCTAAGAGCCTGGACTAGTACGTGGAATTATGGTGCTGTAACCATGAGAGAAGGGCAAGACTGGCAGCTTGACATTCTAGGGTTTAGATGTTTCAGGTGTGATAGGGAGGGATGCAAAAGAGTGGGGGAGTTGCATTACTGATTAAGGAGAATGTCACAGTTGTACTGAAAGAGAATATCTTGTAGGCTAATCCAGCAAGACCATATGGGTAGAATTTGGAAATAAGAAAGGTGCAGTCATTATGATGGGGTTATACTATTGGCCTCCCAATAGTGAGTGGGTGATAGAGGAACAGATACGTAAGCAAATCGTGGAAAGATGTAAAAACAACAGGGTTGTTATAGTGGGCCAGGCTCCTGAAGAAGTGTCCTGACCCGAAACATCAACTTTTCTGCTGCCTGGCTTGCTGTGTTCCTCCAGCTCTACAATGTGTTATCTCTGACTTCAGCATCTACAGTTCTTGCTACCTCGGAGGGCTGTTTAAGTGGGTGGTTTTAACTTCTCCAACATTGACTGGGATTCCCTTCATTCCAGGAGCTTAGATGGTGCATCTAGAAGGATTTCTTGAAACAGTACATAGTCCAACTAGCTGAGGGGCCATACTGGACCTTGTACTGGGGAATGAGCCTGGCCAGGTGACTGAAGTTTCAGTGGGGGAGATTGTGGAACAGTGATCATAATTCCAGAACCTTTAAAATAGTTAAGGATAAGACTGGTCCTTGGCTCAAAGTGTGAAATTTGGTGCAGGCTAATTAGCACAGTATTAGGTATGAACTGAAGAAATTAGATTGGGGGCAGCTAGTTGAGGGTAAATCCACATCTGACCTGTGAGAGTCGTTTTCAAGGCCAGTCGATCAGAGTTCAGGACCAGTTTGTTCCTGTGAGGATGGCAAGATTCAGGAATCCTGCATGAGGAGATATTCAAAGATTAGTCAAACAAAAAGGAAGCACATGCAAGGCTTAGGAAATGGAAACCTGGCGAGGCCCTTTTAAGGATGTACAGGAAGTGAGAAAGAACTTGGGCAAGAAATTGAGAGGGCCAAAAGGGACCATGAACAGGTAAAGGGTAGGTCCATTCCAGGACAAAGGAGGGAACTAATGCATGGAGCTAGAGAAAGTGGATGAATCCCTTAACAAGTACTTTGCATCGGTATTTACCAAGGAGGAGATGGGTGATGGCAAGATTAGGGAGGGGTATGTTGATATTCTAGACCATGTCAGTATTGAGGATGGAGAGTTAATGGTGTCTTGAAAAACATTTTAAGGTAGGAAGTCCCTAGGGTGTGATGGGATCTAATCCAGGATACTGTAGGAGGGAAGGGAGGAGATTGCTGGAGCCTTGACACAGATTTTTGTATCCTCTGGCCACACACAGTCTCAGAAGTCTAGAGAATAACCAATATTGTTCCTTTGTTTGAGGGTAGCAGGGATAATCCAGGAAATTGTAGGCTGGAGAGCCTTCTATCAGTGGTAGGGAAATTATTGGAGAACATTCTTAGGCACAGGATCTACTTGCATTTGGAAAAGAACGTGTTTATTAGGGATAGTTGGCATGGCTTTGTGATTGAATTTGGTTGAGTTTTTCGAGGAAGTAACAAAGATGATTGAGGGTAGGACAGTGAATGTTGTCTGCGTGGACTTCAGTAAAGCATTTAACAAGGTTCCTCGTAGGCTGGTCCAAAGAATCCGTGCCAAATTAGTAAGTAGAGTACAAAATTGGCTTGATCAGAGTACTGTGGATAGCTGTGGAGGATTGATTGCCTGACTGGAGGTCTGTGGCCAGTGGTGTTCTGCAAGGATCAATGCTAGGACCTCCATTTGTAATTTACACACATACTTTGGATGAAAATGTCACTGTCTGATTTAGGAAGTATGCAGATGACGTGAAAATTGGGGTTGTGGATATTGAGGAGTTTTGTCAAAAGATGCAGCAAGATATGGATAAGTTGGAAAATTGGGCAGAGAAATAACAGATGGCATGGTATGCAGACAAGTATGAGGTGAAGCACTTGACCTCCCAGAATACAAGAGCAAAGTATACAGTAAATGACAGCACCCGAAGGAGCATTAATTATAGAGGGATCTTGGGATACAAATCCACAGCTCCCGGACAGTGGCAGCGCAAGTGGGTCAGGTGGTAAAGAAGGCATAGGTATGCTTGCCTTTGTTGATTGGTGCATTGAGTATAAGAGCTTGCAAGTCATGTTGCAGCTGTATAAAACTGTAGTTAGGCCATATTTGGAGTATGGTGTGCAGTTTTGGTAACCACAAGGATGTGCAGGGTTTGGCAAGGGTGCAAAAGAAGTTTACCAGGATTATTGCGTCAATTTTGATTGCTAATGATAATGAAGAATAACATTGTCCCCAGGTCTGTCATGGTTCAAGAGAATATTCATTGAAAACAGCCTTGGGACTGTAACTGTGAATTTGCTCATGCTGCACGCATCCTGACAAAAAAGAGGGTGATAAAACTCCTTCCTTTCATCCTACTACCTCCCCCACAGTACTGTTGATTTTTTTCCCCAGGTATAACTGGGATTTTTCTGTGAGTAGCGTTGCAGATACAAAGTGAGGAAGGTGTTCTTTTCCCAAGCACAGTAATGGGCCTCTGGAGCTGGCTTCAGTCATATCATAGAGCTGACTTCTGAATTCCTTCCAACAGGCTTGATGTGTTTCTGGCTTGGTGGCCATCTCTGTTTTATATCAGGTGATTCAGACTTTGGGACCAGTGATGATGATCTGGACTAGTTTGCAGAGATCAGTTGAAGAGGAATTTCCCAGTCCACTCTCCAAATCTCATATTTGTCTGCAAAACCACAAGGTTTTGGATGGGGTGCAGGCAATATATATTGTAGTATACAATATGTCCTCGATTTGTTTGGTATCGGCTGGATTGATTTCATTGCTTCTACTAAACATTGTGTGAGGGAAATGACGAAAATGCCCATGTACTTGTCTGGTAAAGTATTCATTCACAGATGTGTTAATGAACTTGACTGATCCATCAAGGTATCAGTGTCTTCAGAGTATTCAACAATTTTGATTTTCCTCCAGTTGTCACATGTGGTGATCCTCCACCTATCAGTAATGGCCAAGCTCCAAAACCAGCCGGTAGCGACTCGTGGACACACGGGATGGTAGCAGAATATTCATGTAATGACGGCTACTCGTTGATTGGCACAAAAAGCCTTACCTGCCTGGAAGATGGAACATGGGACAAGAATCCACCTGTGTGCAAAGGTACTTAAGTACAAGATCTGCTTTAATTGAATATTTCAACTGGAGTTAGGAAAGTTGCTTCTTCATGTTTCAGTATCTTAATATGGTTTGCCGTAAACTGTATTAAATTAATTGTGACCTTTCCTCAGAACTGGCAGGTCTGAGGAAGGGTCACTGGACCCGAAAAGTTAACTCTTTTTTTCTATCACAGATGCTGCCAGACTTACTGAGCTTTCTCATCAACTTTGTTTTTGTTTTTGTTCCTGACTTACAGCATCCACAGTTCTTTTGGTTTTTATTAAAATAATAGTGCATGGTTGTCTGATCAGAAAACAAGGGAGGGGCTACCTGCACCAAGTAAATATTTTGCTCTGCTACATTTGTTGTTTGCTAATGATAAATTTTCGTAAAGGGTTGGCAGAATTGAAGCAGGCAGTGTTCATGGCTGGTTTCTGAAAAAATGGCAGTAGTCTTCCCACGAAGGCGTGGACACTGGCCTAACAGGACCCGATTGAAATCTGGCTCCAGTAGATGAAAGCTGGGTCCAGATAAACCATTGTAAACTGTAGACTTGTAAATTGGTCATGATGCCAGTATTTGGTTTGCATTTTGGAGGTGAACTACAGCCTGCTTTTGGTTTCATTGGTGTTCCCTTTTTTTTTTTTTTTTTGGAGGCTGTAAATAAATGCTCCTGATTGCAGTTGTCCAATTCCTTCCCTCTTAGTTATTTTAGTCTACTGGACAATGACCAAATGCAGTTTTGCAGTGGGCATCGGGGACAGTGGTGGTGCTATTTAGATTGGATGTAGCTACAGAGGGTAAACTGTGGCATGGTGGGTAAACAATGACAGAAGTGAGTGAATGTACAAGAGTGTCAGCTAGCCGATGTCAGCTGCCATTAGCTATGTTCTGTGTCGAGTGTTGCTTTGTGGCTCTTGTGCCATTACACTGCACATGAGGGACAAACATGGAATACCAACACTTGTCCGGTTGCACATAAGCCTTTCCAAGCTGCACAGGCAGAAGGGATGCTGGTCTTTATGTAGATATCCAATGAGTAGCAAGTTGTTCTGGGAATGGGGCATAATCTATCAGGCCACATTTGGAATACTGTGAGCAGTTTTGGGCTCCCAAGGAAGGATTTAAGACCGATGGATAGGTCCTTGATTAGCAAGGAGATCAAGGGTTATGGGGAGAGAACAGGAGAACGGGGTTGAGAAATATGTCAGCCGTGATCAGACGGCGGAACAGACGGATGGGCAGAAGATCCTAATTTTGCGCAAGTCTTTTCACAACAAAGTGGGGCTAGAATTGGAAATGAGGAATGTTATCAGAGTGGATTGGGTGGTTAAGGTGCATTTAGTATAGATATTGCTTGAAGTCTCACGGCAAGAATCCCGTCAAAAAAAAAAAACCTGACAATGCATGCTTAGCCAATAAATGTAAAATTCAGCCTTACCTCTGTCTTATTGAAATTTAGAATTTTTCTTTTTTGGTATATTGCCCTCCATCGTTCTGAAGAGGTTCTTGTAGCCTTTAGAATTAGCTCGGTTTTAAGTTTTTGTTAACCTTTGAAAAATGGACACCATTATACAGTATAAGGTATAAATGAACATTGTTCTTTTCCCAGTTGTTGAATGTCCCCGCCCTGACCCACCTGAGAATGGCTACATTGAAAGCGGATTAGGACCCAAGTACAAATATCAGGAAGAGATAGTCTTCCGCTGCAGTAAAGGTTTTGAAATGGTTGGTGAGAGTATCGTTAAATGCGGTGAGGATAACATCTTTGTGCCATCGCCACCTATTTGCAAACTACGTGAGTAGCCATCTCTTAAACTGGAAACAGCTTGTCAGTGTGGAAGAATTAGATCAGAATTGAACTGTCTGTTAAATGGTAGGTTAGATTTTTTTGGGGACGGGAGGTGGTTTGCCAGTGAACTGTTTCCTTATTTGCAGTCAGAGCCCTTCTGAGATTTTGGGGGCACACAGGTCAGTGGAAAATTCCTAAAGTTGCAGTCTTGAGCTCAGCACAGGCTGCACTGTGTGCTACTTCCTAAAACCAGCAATCACAAAGGGGTGACAATTTCAACTTCCATCTACATTCCCCTAAAAGGGGAGGGTCTTAGAAAACCTTTTAATAGGCTCTCAAAGTAGTCAGTGACATTACTCCAGCTCCGCACTGAATACTACAGTCTGTTGAAGTACCATTATTGAGAGAGGTGAATTTTATTGCCAGATTTTATCTTGTAGCAAGACTTGCTTTATCGTCGGCATGGAGAATGCCTGCTTCACCATGGACCAGAAAGTCCTGCTCAATATGTTTTTAATGTGCATCTTTCCCAATTAACATGAACTTCTTTGTTACAACAGTAGTTGTTGTGAAGTTGTGTACTAC